GGAGTCCCTTACAGATGTTGGGGCTGAGTGCTTCCTCTCAAATCCATCTGCTGAGTTCTTGTAGTTGAAGCCACCATCATCTTTCACCACCGTCAGTGGTCTCACCAGTTTCCAGTTGCTTCCTTCCTGGTGTAAGGCTGGAATGGGGATGTTGGGGTAGAGCAGGTCTGGGGCTGAGCACAGGTCAAGTAGACCTTATGGATCAAGTGTAGCTTTTGGGTGTTCAGTAGGTTAAAATACCGACTGACTTAATGCCTTAGATGCACCCTCAGAATGACCAGAGGAATAGAAATGAACAGAAAGGTCCATCAAGAGCCCCTTGGCTGAACTTGAGTTTCTCAAGGGGAAAATTCTTCACTCGGACATGAGCTTGGTCACCAATAGCCTCGGTTGTTGCTTCTCTCTGTTCCTAGACTTTCCCTTGCTCCCCTTCCCTTACCCCTGGACTGCAGTCACCTCAGTCAACTTCTGTCTGAATGGGACTTTGACTCTGAATGTTCTGACAGTGGGATCAGGAGCCACATGGTGCCACTAGAATCTTGCTTTTCTCTTAGCCATCATTTTTCTCCATGTACAGCACGATTCTACGCTCTGTGTGTGTTTTCTGTTGATACGTCTTTAGTGTTAATAATCAACAGGTGTATAGTGTTTTTGTTGTTTATTCTTTGGTCTAGTTTACTCATCATGGACTTTTGATGTGGGCCTGTTGTACTTTGATAAGAGCATTGGTTGAATCACAGTGTGTCTGATATCTGTGTCTATAAATTTCAACATGTTGATAAATTAGTGGTAAAGAGACTGCTTGTTGCCAAGGATGTGCTGGATAGCTTTAGTGTCAACTTGACACATGTGGGTTGAGGGAGCCTCAATCGGGGGATTGCTTCTATTGGACTGGCCTATGGCCATGTCTGAGGGACATCTTCTTGATGAGTGATGTGGGAGGGCCCAGCCAGTAAGCAGCATTCCTCCATGGCCTGCACTCCAGCTCCTGCCTCCAAGTTCCTGCACTGAGTTCCTACCTTGGGCTCCTGGATGAACTGTGACCTGGGAGATGTAAGCTAAATAAACCCTTTCCTCCCCAAGTTGGTAGTGGTCAGAGTATTTTGTCACAGCAGTGAAGAACAGACTAGGACAAAGGATAACCTGATCCCCTCTATTTACTCCTTCGGACTACTACAGTCAGAACCACAGGAATGTGGGTTTCAGTGTCTTCAGTTACCCTGTGAGCCTTTTCGCACCCATCTGATGACATTCACGCCTTCTGCCAGTGTAAAAGTGTTAGTCAGGCCTCAGCAGTGTTGTTTTTCATGCCTGGGTCAAGTTAACGGCTCTCTGGAGTGCTGCCCTGTGTACCTGGGGAATGAGTACTCCAGCCACACCTTTCATGAGCAGATCTGTACTCCTGATGTTCTACCTCAGCCTAGCCCCAGACTCCACAGCCATTGTGACTGCTCTTTCATGCTTTCTTGGTTTGTATTTTATACAGAATAAGGCTGTTGGGATGTATTAAGATGGGACTTTTGTTAGTTTTTTAAAAATTAATTTATTGTATATATGTGTGCATACATGTTTATGTCAAAAAACACATGTGGAGGTCAAAGGACGGCTTCTGGGAGTCAGTTTTTTTTCTTCCACAATGTGAGTCCCAGGGATTGAACTCAGGTCATGAGACTTGGCAGCAAGCACCTTTACCCACTGAGCCATCTGACCATCAGGATTTTCGATGAAGCTAATTGAAACTTTAAAATTTTGTCTTCAAGGTGTTATATAGGAGTGATCCATTTAAAGTAAATGCCTGCAGCAGATCACAGAAATCCTATCAGTGATGCTGTTTTAAAATATTTTATTTAGTATTTTTATTTTATGTGTATGAGTGTATTGCCTGCATGTATGTGAGTGCACCTGTGTAGTGCAATGCCCACAGAGGTCAGAAGAGGGTGTCTGATTCCCTGGAACTGGAGTTAGGATGGTTGTTAGACACCATGTGGGAGCTGGGATTCGAACCTGGGTGTACTGCAAGAGCAGCCAGTGCTTTTAACTGCTGAGCCTTCTCTTTAGCCCCTTAAATATTTTCTTTATGTATATGATATGTATATGAGTGTTTTGCTTGCATGTTTATAAGTGAGCCACTTGTGTGTGATGCTTGTGGAGACCAAAAGAGGGTGCCAGATCCCCTGGAACTGATGGATGGTTGTTAACTGCCAAGTGGGTGCTAGGAACTGAACCTGAGTCCTCTGTAAGAGCAGCCAGTGTTCTTAACCACTGAGCCATCTCTCCAACCCCATGATGCTCTTTATTAGCATACCATCTCTCAGAAAACAGCATCTTCTTTATGATCACAGTAGGTAGAAGTGCTTTACCCTCCAGTAGTAAACAAGAAAAATGGGCAGCTATTTTCTTTTTTTTTTTCCCCTTTTGGGTTTTTTGTTTGTTTGTTGTTATTAGTTTATCACTTAGATGTCCTGAAATACTGATATGTAGAAGAGAAAGTCTCATGTGTCCCAAGCTGGCCTCACCTCAAATTTACTGTATAACCAAGGATGACCTTGAACTTCTGACCCTCCTGCCTCTACCTCCTGAGTGTAGAGATGACAGGAGTGTGCCCACATCTGGCTTATACAGTCCTGGGGATGGAATTTAGGGATGTATGCTTGCTAGGCAGGCAAGCATGGTACCAACTGAGCTGCTTGTTCCCAGCCCTAAAAAATTCCCTTTTGCTTGGGGCTGGAGAGATGGCTCAGTGGTTAAGAACACTGTTCTTGCAGGAGACCCGGGTTCAAATCCCAGCACCCACATAGCAGCTAGTAGCTGTCTGTAATTCCATTTCTAGGGGATCTGACAGCCTCTTCTGTCCTTGGGCATTGCATGACTTACTTACATGCAGGCAATACACGCATTCACATAAAATAAAAATAATAAATAAAATTAAAAAATTCCTTTTGCATGTGAGTATTTCAAACTCCAACCTACTGAAAACAACAGAGGTGCCACGAATAATCTTTATCCCTATCTCAGCTCTCCCTTTGGTCATTGGGAAAACGAATCTAGCTGCTTTTCCTTCTCTTCCCTTCAGTAATCCCGGCACCTCAGTGGAGAGCTCTGCAAGGTTCTAATCCCTTTCCTTTAGGGGGTGAGAGCAGAGTGTTAAACGCTGAAGGACTCTCACCACCACTTCATGTTTGGTGATCCCTTCAGAGACCCTGAGGGTAGGTCATGAGCATGTCCCACCAGAGTCTCTGCTTTTCCTGTCAGAAAGGAAGGTTTTTGTCCAATGGGACAAGTCTGGTTTGGGAACCCATGAGCAACACAGTGGAGCCTGGACTTTGGAGAAAAACAGACTTAAGGGACAGCTTAAAAAAGAAAAGAAAAGAAAAGAAAGAAAGAAAGAAAGAAAGAAAGAAACAAACAAACAAACAAACAAACAAACTGGGCCCCTGGGAGAACTGGGCCCCTGGGAGATGGCTCAGTGGGTAAAGGTGCTGACCAAGCACCAAGCCTGTTAACCTGAGTTCAATACCTGAGATCCACATGGTGGAGAGAACCAACTCCTGAAAATTATCCTCTGACCTCTACATGTACATGGGTGTGTCTATGGCACACCTCTATGGCACATGGATATATGGATATGTGTGTGTGTGTGTGTGTACATACACATACAATAAAAATGTAATTTAAAAAATAAAAAAATAGATGGAAAGCAATTGAGGAAGACACTCGACCTTGACCGCTGGCCTCCAAATGGATGCATGTATACATGCACCCACACATACATGCACACATACACATACATGTACATACACAAAAAATGACAGTCGAAAACATTAGAGTCCCGTGTATGTTAGAATCGGGCTTTTTTGATTTCACAAGGCATGCAGCAGATCTCTTGGATGTATGTTTCTTTAAAGCATGTGGATGATTTTAATCTAAGAGCACTTGGTCAGTTCAAATTAGTTCACCTAGAACTGAGTGAGGGATGTGCAGGGCTCTGTGTGGCACTGAAGGGCAGGAAGTCAAGCTAGAGCTCCTTGGAACTGGCAGCTGGTTCAAATCGGAAGGGACCTCCTTCTAGTTTCATTGTACCCTTTCGTTTCACAGCATTCTTCAGCACGGTGCAGCTTTTGATGGTTTAGTCTGTGTAATCTGAATTGCAGGGCACATACTGCATCTGGTGGTTTGTGGTGGAAGTGGGGTATTTGTGCTAAATATGACTCCTTTGGCTCCTTTCTTGGCAGAAGCTATGGTTTGCAGGGAAGGAGCTTGCAGAGGTTTTTAAATTTTATTTATTATATTTATTTTATGTGTATGCGTGTATTGCCTGCATGTAGGTAAGTGCACCTGTGTTGTGCAATGCCCATGGAGGACAGAAGAGGCTGTTGGATCCCCTGGAACCGGAGTTATGGACAGTTGTTAGATGCCATGTGGGTGCTGGGATTCAAACCCAGGTCTTCTGCAAGAACAGCCAGTGTTCTTAACTGCTGAGCCATCTCTCCAGCCCCTTGTATGAGTGTTTTGCCTGCCTGTGTGTAAGTGCTCCATGTGTGAGTGCTTGAGAAGACCAGAAGAGGGCGTCACATCCATTGAAACTGGAGTTACAGAGGGTTATTAGCTACCACATGGGTGCTGGGAACTGAACCCACGTCCTCTGCAACAGCAGCCGGTGCTCTTAACTGCTGAGCCATCTATCCAACTCTGGTATGCTAAGTTTTAATAAGAAAATAATTCTTGGTGAGTGTGATGGCACACACTTTTAATTGCAGCACTCAGGAGGCAGAGGCAGGCAATCTCTGTGAGTTTGAGACCAGCCTGGTCTATGTAGTGAGTTCCAGGCCAGCCAGGACTACACAATGAGACCCTGTCGTCATCATCATCATCATCACCATCATCATCATCGTCATAATTCTCCTGAAAATTGGCCCTGTAGGCCTAAATTTGTAAGTTTTCTGGTGTTATTTTCTAATTACTTACCTGTGAATCTTCATGTGCTTTGGAATTTCTTGCAGAGATATGAAGGCTATGGAATGACTCCCCCATCAGGCCCATCGCCACGGTAAGGTTTCTGGAAGAAATTGTATCATGTCTTTCTCATATGGGTTAGTATTTCATTCTGTAAACTCCTGTCTTTTAGTTACTTTGATCAGATACAGAACTCTGAGTTGCATATTTTCTTGCTCTAACCAGAAGAGGAGGTAAAAAGTTGGAATTGGCAGCTGGGGAGATGGCTCAGTGGTAAGAATGTTTGCTGTCCAAGTATCAGGATCTGGGCCTGCAAGACAGTTCAGTTGTAAAAGTGCTTGCTTCTAAGCCTGACAGCCTTAGTTTGAGCCCCAGGACCCAATGGTGGAAGGAGAGAACCAACTCCTGCAAGTTGTCCTCTGACCTCCACACGCATGCCATGGCACATGTGTACACACACACACAGACACACACACAATTTTTTTTTGGTCTTTTTTTGAGACAGGGTCTCCCTGTAGCCCCAGCTGTCCTGTAACTCGCTATGTAGACCAGGCTGGCCTTGAACTCACAGAGATCCACTTGCTTCTGCCTCCCAAGTGCTGGGATTAAAGGCGTGTGCCACCATGCCCGGTTTAGACTAAATTTTTAAAATGTAATTTTTTGGGGCTGGAGAGATGGCTCAGTGCAGAAGACCTGAGTTGGAAACCCAGGACCTGCACGACAGCTAATAACTGTCCCTAACTCCAGTTCCAGGAGATCTGACACCTTCTTCTGTCCTATGCAGGGATTGCATGACACAGGTGCACTTACATACATGCAGGCATCACACATTAAAAATAAAACTAATAAATAAAATTAAATAAAAATGTAATTTTTCAATAGGCCTTTAAATAAAAGACAAATAATAGGGGACATGAAGTTGGGGGTATAAAAATATTTAAAGTCTACACAATAAGGAATAAAAATTATAAACCTAGCAATATGCTGCAAAAGTTTTGGTGCTATCTTTAGAAAAAGGATCATTATTAAGGTTATCAATAATGATACTGAAATTTAAGAAAATAAATATGAACCAATTATTAATGTAAAAATGTCATTAAAAATTGTACTGAAGCAAAAAAGTAGGTTTTAAAAGTCTGGAGTGGTGGCGCACACCTTTAATCCCAGCACATTGGCAGAGGTAGGCAGATCTCTGTTAGTGGGAGACCAGCTTGGTATACATAGCAAGTGCCAGGCCAGCTGGCTGCATAGTGGGGCCCTTTCTCAACAACAACAACAACAACTACAACAAAAAGTTTAAAAATAAATAGATATAGAACATGAACTCAAATCCCCAGCACCATATAAAAAGTCAAGTGTGACTGCATGCAGACCATTGGGGCTTTCAGGCCACCAGCCAGCCCAGTTTGGTGAGAAACTCTGTCTCAAGTGTTTACAATAATTGTGCTTAATATGCCTAATAATGAAGTTGAGGTTTATTGTCTGAGGAGATCTAAAAGTACTAGCTTATGTTAAACTTTATTTTTATTTTGTTTTGTTTGGGGGGGTGGGTTTATTTGTTTTCAGACAGTGTTGTCTACCTGTAGCTCCAGCTGGCCTAGAACTTCCTATGTTGACCAGGCTGGTCTTGATCTCACAGAGATTCACTTGCCTCTGCCTCTGCTGGATTAAAGGCATGCACCCCACTATGTTAAACCATTTTTTGTTTTTTGTTTTTGGTCTTTTTGAGACAGGGTCTCCCTGTAGCCCCAGCTGTCCTAGAACTCACTATGTAGACCAGGCTGGCCTTGAACTCACAGAGATCCGCCTGCCTTTGCCTCCCAAGTGCTGGGACTACAGGTGTGTGCTACCACACCCGGCTGTTTTTTTTTTGTTTGTTTTAAATACTTTATTTATTATTTTTATGTGTATGTGTGTATTGCCTGCATGTAGGTAAGTGCACTTGTGTCCTGCAGAGCCCTTGAGGGACAGAAGAGGCTGTCGGATACCCCGGAATTGGAGTTACAGACAGTTGTTAGCTGCCATGTGGGTGCTGGGATTTGAACCCGGGTCTTCTGCAAGAACAGCCAGTGTTCTTAACCACTAAGCCATCTCTCCAGCCCTAAACTGTTTTTATTATTATTTTTTTTTTATTTTATGTGTATGAGTGTATTGCCTGCATGTATGTGAGTGCACCTGTGTCGTGCAATGCCACAGAGGTCAGAAGAGGGCATTGAATTTCCCTGGAACTGGAGTTAAGGACAGTTTGTAGCTGTTATGTGGGTGCTGGGAATCGAACTCTAGTCCTCTGTAAGAGCAGTCAGTGCTCTTAACCACTGAGCCATCTCTCCAGCCCCATGTTAAACTGTTTTAAGTTCAAGATTCTGATGTAATTTTTAGACACATTTCCTAAATGAATGCTTAAATACAAAAACAAGGAGAAACAAAATAATTTAAAAATTTAAAAATAATTTAAAAGGTAGGAACATGGTATTGTGAGAATGTTCAGAAAGCAAATTTAAGATGCTAGAGATGAAGTCAGGTGCACGGAAACAAATCTACTTCAGGATAATAACTAAGTATTCCAATTAAAAGACAAAGATTGTCAAGTTGGATGAACTAATATCTGACTTCCAAGAGACCCATCAAAAATGTGAAGGCAGCCGGGCGTGGTGGCGCATGCCTGTAGTCCCAGCACTTGGGAAGCAGAGGCAGGTGGATCTCTGTGAGTTCAAGGCCAGCCTGGTCTACAGAGTGAGTTCCAGGCCAGCTGGGGCTGCAGGGAGACCCTGTCTCAAAAAAAAAAAAAAAACTCCCCCCCCAAAAAATGTGAAGGCAAAGAAAGAACATAGAAGATTTGAACAGATGATTAATCAATGTGACTGTGACCTAATTAACATATATGGAACACTGGGCTCAATAACCTTCAAATAGACCTTTAAAAGTACACTTAGGCTGGGCGTGGTGGTGCATGCCTTTAATCACAGCACTTGGGAGGCAGAGGCAGGCAGATCTCTGTGAGTTCAAGGCCTGCCTGGTCTACATAGTGAGTTCTAGGCCAGCTGTGGCTACAGGGAGACTGTTTCCAAAAGACAACACCCACCCCCAAAAAAAGTTCACTGGAGAAAACTTCAGGCACACAGATGCTTCATCAATGAATTCAGCCAAACCCTGAAGGAGGAAAAGTACCAATGTTGTACAAATGCCAATTAAAAAAAAAAAAAATAGAAGGAGGCGTAACCACCTCAGCTAATTCTGTGGCCAGTATTATTACTTCAACACCAAGGACACAGATTAGAAGTGCAAGGACATTGCAAGAAAGGAAACATTAAGGGCCAGTTTCAGGGTGAACAAAGGTAGAAAGAATTTGAAACCAAATATTCACAAACATATCCAGCAATATATATAAAAGGATATTATATTACAACCAATTTGGATCAATTCCAGCCTTGTCAGGGCAATTTAACATGTTAAAAACCAATCTGTGCCGGGCGTGGTGGCGCACGCCTTTAATCCCAGCAGAGGCAGGCGAATCTCTGTGAGTTCAAGGCCAGCCTGGTCTACATAGTGAGTTCCAGGAAAGGTGGGGCTAAAGGGAAACCCTGTCTCAAAAAAACCAAAAAAAAAAAAAAAAAGAGGACAAAGAAGGAAAATGTCATTTCAGTAGATAAAGCGTTTAACAAAAGTCAACATCCATTTGTGGAAGAATTCTTAGCAAACAAAAAATAGAAATAAGCTGATCTGTTCTGATTTGTACTTTGTCAGTGAGCTCTGAGCCTGCTCAGTAGATACACAGAGTAGTGTTTACCCTCCAGATGAAAGTATTTTATGAGAAAGCAGTTATCAGATAGTAACAGACATATCTGAGGAACACTGTAGGGATTTGATCTTTGTTATGAATCATGTGATAGATGACTATAGAGAGATGGTGAAGTGAGCAACAGAACACTATTGGAATATGGTAATAAGAGGGACCAGCCTTGTCCTGTGAAGCCTTTGAAGGAGTAGTTAATGGCTGTGTTCAGCAGAGCCATCTGTGTCCCCCCAAAGGGGTCATGTCATGTACATTTCCAGGTTAAACTTTTTGTTAAACCTAAAAGGTTTCAGCCAGCTGTAGTGGCATAAACCTTTGATCCCAGTGCTGGGGAGGCAGAGGCAGACAGATCTCTCTGAGTTCAAGACCAGCCAGGGCTATCTACATAGTGAGACCCTGTCTTATAAAACAAAACAAACCATCCATATGGCCTTCATAATTTCCACTTTCCAAGTGACAAGTGTCATAAAATCATGCATAGATGAAGGATCTATTCAAAGCACAAGACAGAGTAGTGGGTTTTGATGGAACCGGGTATGAAAACTTCTTTCTGATTCAGGTTTCAGATTCCATGTTGAGTTTTTGGAGTCGTATTAAATAGAATGTGTGGATGGTTACCTGGATCTTTCCTAGCAAAGCTGTCAAGACCCTCCTTGTTTTTCTAAGAACAGGTTCTATGAGGGCAGATTTTCTTCCTAAAGTAACACATGTCAACTGACTGAATATAAAATTGTAAGCAGGGTGTGGTGGCTCTTGGGAGGCAGAGGCAGGTGGATCTCTGTGAGATCAAGGCCCACCTGGTCTACATAGTGAGTTCAAGGCCAGCTGAGGGTATAGGAAGATCCTGTCTCAAAAAGACAAAAAACAAACAAACAAAACAAACAAAAAAAAACCCAAAACCAAACCCAAAAAAACCAAAAACCAAAATGAAAAAAAAAATATGGGCCTCTAGGTGTCTTCTATTAAGAAAATTTGAACAAAAATAAGGTGTTACTTTTTACACTACATTTGGAGGTACTTGGAGAAGATAGTTACATTCCTGAAGATTGCTGTGCTAATGTGTTGGTGGGGTTTTGTTTTGTTTTGAGACCAGGTCTCCCTGTAGCCACAGCTGGCCTGGAACTCACTATGTAGATCAGGCTGGCCTTGATCTCACACAAATCCATCTGCCTATGCCTCCAAGGTTATACCTCCAAGGCTTAAAGGTTTGTGCACCATGCCCAGCTAGGTTTATATTTTTAATGACTTTTTTAGTAAATATTTTTAAATGTTCTTAGTTTTAGTTTCTAGTAAAATTAACATCAGTGGATATAACCCACAAAAGTTCTTGGGCATCCTCAATAATTTTTTGTAAGTTTAAAGGGGTTCCAGAACCTAAAAAGTTTTCGAACACTTCCTTAGACTGGTGTTCAGCCTTGATGGACAAGTGAGATCCTTTGTGGAATTTTTCTGAAAGAAAGAAAGAGAGAGGGGGAGGGAGAGAGAGAGAGAGGGAACAATTCATGTCTGGATTGGATCTTCCTGGGGTACAGTGTGGGCAACCAAGAATAAGCTTTAGTCAAATGCTGGCCCTTCTTCTCTCCTGGTGTCACCATCCTCAGGCTTAGTGCTGTGGTGGGCCCTGAGCAAATAGGAAATCTCTTGCCTTTAGGGAACAGGAGAAAGTTCTTTTGTTCCAGGAGAAGAAACTGAAAAGCACATCTATGAAGGGCCTTCATCCCTGTGGGGGGCAGGCAGCCTAATCAAATTCCAGAGCAGGGAAAAGGGGGTCTTGATGCATGTCTGTGCTTTCCCATCAGACCAAGTTTTGCCCCTGGGTTGCTACAGTCTTCGGAGATGGTACCACCTGAGCCTCCACAGCCACAGGCATCAGCTGAAGCTCCATTTGCTGCCCGAGGGATCTACTCTGAGGAGATGCCATCTGTAGCCCGGCCTCGCCCTGTAGGGAGCACCACAGGTAGGTGTGGAGTTGGAGCTTGTATTTCTGCATACCACTAATGTGGACCAGAGAGATGGCTCAGCAGGTAAGGGGGCTTGCAGCCAAGCCAGGCTAGCTGGCCTGCTAGCTTCTAGCCGATTCTCCTGTCTCCACCTCCCATCTTGCCCTAGGAGTGCTGGGATTACAGATATGTTTTCTGCCTGGGTTCTGGAGGTAGAACTCAGGTCTTCAGGCTTGCATGGCAAGAGGCTTTACCTGATGAGCCACCTCTCCTGCCCTACAACTGCACTTTATAGCAGGACCCCTGATCTGTCTCCAGAAGTGTTAATGGAATAGCTGAGAGACCCTTTCAGGCCCCCAGTGGGGGATGGTGCTCCTATGTGGATAAGCAGTGCCCGCCACAGCTGTGCCTGGGTTCTCTGTAGCAGCTGTCTGAGCTGCCCCACCAGTTTACCAAGGCATCAGACTTGTACTCCACCAACAAATCATTGTTTCACAGTTCTACAACTTACGAAGATCTGGTACCATAGAGCATTACTTGTGAATGCCAGTCTGTATTTCTAAAACTTAAGATCCCACACTCTTCTTGTTTTTCATACAGCTTTGAATACACTGAAAAATTCCTAAAGTTCAAAGTCACCTTACTGTGCTTTTGAAAAAATTTTTTTATCATTTTTATTTTATTTTATGTGTATGAGTATTGCCTGCATGTTTGTAAATGCACCCATGTTGTGCAGTGCCCACAGAGGTCAGAGGAGGGCGTCGGGTCCCCTGGAACTGGAGTTACAGATGGTTGTTCGCTGCCGTGTGGGTGTTGGGAATTGAAGCCGGGTCCTCTGCAAAAGCAACCAGTGTTCTTAACCGCTGAGCCACCTTTCTAGCCCTGCCTTACTGCGCTTTATGACTTAAGCTCATTTACTGTTTACTCTCCCTGTTCATTTCTTCCCCCTCCTTTGTGAAGACTGAAGCTTTAATGACAGGAACTATTTCATGTTAAATTATTTTATTTTCCTTCTGCAGAATATACATTTTTATAATGTCATCAAAAACTAGTATAGGCCAATTTTCAAATTTTCAAAAATTGGAAGACTTTTTTTTAGGTTTCTTTTTTAAATATTTTGTTTATTATTTTTAAATTATTTTATGTATATAAGTGTATTGCCTGCATGTATGTGAGTGCACCCATGCCATGCAATGCCACGGAGGTCAGAAGAGGGCTTCGGATTCCCTGGCACTGGTTCATAGCCGCCATGTGGGTGCTAGGAATCAAACCTGGGTCCTCCGCAAGAGTAGTCAGTGCTCTTAACCGCTGAGCCATCTCTCCAGCCCCAAGGAAGAAATTTTTTATGTGAATGTTCTTCTAAGAAATTCTTTTATCTTGCATTGTCTGTTAGTCCACAAAAGAGTGAATGGATGGTCATACTCTACACGATTTCTCTCCCTTTACAGGTCCTGTGTTTGTGGGACACGTCATGTCTCCTCTTAACTTGTGTGTTGGGACCTTGCTGCAGAGTGTACACACTAACCAAAATTCAGACGCATTAGCTTTTAATTTAAAAAACGTTTCGATAAGGGGTATGGAGAGATGGCTCAGCTATTAAACCACTGGCTGCTCTTACAGAGGACCTGGGTTTGGTTCCTAGCACCCACATGGCCACTAACAACCATCTGTAACTGTAGTTCTAGGGTATCCAATATGCTCTTCTGGCCTCTGTGGGCATTGCACATATATGGTACACTTAACATGCAGGCAAAACATTCAAAACAAATAAAATAAAAATAAATAAATAAAAAATAAAAATAAAATCTCCATGAGAAGAAGTTATATTGTGTCAAACATTTCAAGATGAAACTAATAATTTTTAATAAGGGTGAAGTTGTGTAAACATTTGTAATGGAAAATGTTATAATCCATTAGAAGAATTACTTTTTATTTTTTTTATTTAAAAAAATTTTTTTTTAATTATTATTTTTGCCCTTTTTGAGACAGGGTCTTCCTGTAGCCCCAGCTGGCCTAGAACTCACTATGTAGACCAGGCTGGCCTTGAACTCACAGAGAGCCGCCTGCCTCTGCCTCCCGAGTGCTGGGATTAAAGGCATGCGCCACCACGCTTGGCTAGCTGAATTAGTTTTTAACTATAAAAAAATTATCAAATGTGGGCCTGGGAATATAGTGCCATTGGCAAAGTGCTTCCCTGGCATGCATGAGGCCCTGGATTCAGTTCTCAGTACTGCATAAACTGGGCATGGTGGTACATGCCTTTCTTCCCAGCACTAGGGGAGGTGAAAATAGGGGGATCAGAAATTCAAGATCATTCTTGACTGAATAGTGAGTTCAAGATGAGCCTGGGCTACATGAGACCTTGCCTTAGAAAAAACAAAAACATTGGGCTGGAGAATTGGCTCAGTGGTTAAGAGCACTGACTGCTCTTGCAGAGGACCCGAGTTCGATTCCCAGCACCCACATGTTGGCTACGAACCGTCCTTAACTCCAGTTCCAGGGGAATCTGACACCCTCTTCTGACCTCCGTGGCATTGCATGACACAGGTGCACTCACATACATGCAGGCAATACATTCCTACACATAAACACAAAAACAATAACACATCATCAAATTATTTCTAAAAATTACCAGAAACAAAAGAAAATAGAGGAAGTTTGTAACATATTATGACCAAAAGGCTTTTTATTTTAGAGGATAACACATATAAATTGACAAGGGGGGAAACTTCAAAGACAAATAGACAAATAACAGGAAGAAAGAATTCTCAAAGGTGTGTGCGTATTTACCTTATAAAAGAACTAGGAAAAAGGCCTAGTTTTAAAAATGACTAAAGAAGTATAAAGTAAACTAAAAGTGAAGCACAAAGTGCAGTCATGGAATTATCTTGGCAAGAATGGGATGATTAAATCTGCATCCCGTTTCTTTATGCAGTGGGGTTACTAGAGGTGAACTCCTGGGTTGTTCCGAGTGTTTAACAAGAAGCAAGCACAAATTGCCCCAGATAGTGCCTGGTATGTCATGTGCTTTCAACAAAATACTGGCTGCCGTGTTAGTTTTGTCATTGTATTGTTGCTTTCGCTGATTCTGTTAGTTGCTTTTCTTATTGCTGTACAAACACCTGGCAAAAGCAGCTTAAGGAAGAAAAGGTCTATCTTGGCTAACAGTTTGAGGTTAGTCCATCATGGCGGGAAGGCATGGCCACAGGAGCTTCAGGCAGCTGCTGTGTAGTCATAGGTGGGGTGGAGGGGAAGATCCTGCTTCTTCCTTTGCTTCCTCTTTTTTTGTGGGGGGATCATTTTGAGATGGGGTCTCCTTATAGCCCCTAGCTGGCCTGGAACTCACTATGTAGACCAGCTGGGCTCTATCTCACAGAGATCCTCCTGCCTCTGCCTCCCAAGTGCTGGAATTAAAGGCGTGTGCCACCATGTCCAGCTTGCTTCCTCTTTTTAAATTAAACAAAGATTGAGCCAGGCATGCCTTTGATCCCAGCACTCTTGAGGCAGAGGCAGGCAGATCTCTACAAGATGGAGGCCAAACCTAATCTCCAGCCAAACCTGATTTCCATAGTGAGTTCCAGACCAGCCAAACCTACAGGGAGACCCTGTATCAAAAAACAAGCAAAATAAAACAAACCCAGATTTATTTTATTGTATTTGCATGTGTGTGTGCATGTGTGTCTGTGTGTGCATATGAATGAACTCATGTGTGCAGTACCCGTGAAGGCCAGAAGAAGGCTTCAGATCCCTTGGTGCTATAGTTACAGGTGCTTGAGTGGTCTGATTGGGTGCTGGTATCTAAACTTCAGTCTTCATGATTGAGCAGCAAGGGCTCATAGCAGCTGAGCTGCTCCCCAGCCCCTGCTTCTTCCTTTCTGTTCAGTCCAGGAGCTCAGCTTATGATCAGATGGAGTCACCCACATTGAGTGTGAGTCTTCCTCAACTGCCCAGTTCAACCTTTCTGAAATGAAAATGCCCTCATAGACATGTCTAGAGGTTTGTTTTCTAGATGATTCTAAATCTAAATGTAGTCGAAATAACAATGAAAATCAACCATTTTAGTGGAGTGAATCATTCAACTTTTTTTTTTTTGGTCTTTTTGAGATCGGGTCCCTCTGTAGCCCCAGCTGGCCTGGAGCTCGCTATGTAGACCAGGCTGGCCTTGAACTCAAAGAGATCCACCTGCCTCTGCTGGGATTAAAGGCATGCGCCACCATGCCCAGCCATTCAGCTTTTGAGTCAATACAGAAGTAGCACCCACAAGCCTTCTGTTTGGTAATTTCACTTATGGGAATACAGGATCTCCTTGCTCCCCCAAATTCAGAATATTGAGGAAAAAAACACATGGGCCAATATGTTTAGCACAGCATTGTTCAAAATAGGGAGAAACAAGTAGTTCCTTAGATACTCAGTAAGTCAATTGTAAATAAATTGTGCCACTATTTAAAATGAAGAGATGACAGAAAGCCTGCAACAAAGTTAAGGTCCTCCAGTTGCTGCCTGGATGCTTGATATTTGACCTGCTTTTTATCTTGTGATCCTTGAAGTAACCCTCTAAGGTGACTGGAAAGGTGAGGAGCTGATGCCTAGCAGGGTCAGGAGTCAGTCTCTGGAAGACACAAGGCTTGTCAGTGGCTGGGAATCTGCCAGGCTCACTGGAATCTAAGTTGAGTCAGCTGGAAACCTGTACTGTATTGTTAAGGGATCAAAGCAGGATTCAAAGTCAAGTCCAAATTATGATTTCAGCCACTATGTGGTTTAACACAAAAGATATGCTTTATCCCTCCCCGGGCTACATCTGTAACCCCTTGAAAGATGTGCTCAGCCTGTGTCTGTCCAGTCAACAGTCCTGATATTAATAAATGATTTTCATACTGCCATGACTTCCCAGTTACTGACAAGGGCCCTGGTGGAGCTCATTGCTCTGGCTGAGGCCTGGACAGCTTTTCCCGACCTTCAATTATTGCTGTATATCCCAGTATGACCCTTTAAGAGTTCCTTTTAAAATGTAGTCTGTTAGCCGAGATGGAAAGTCCATGTTACTCCAGGAACCCTTGAAGCCTACATAGCATAGATAAATTTGGCCATCCTAGGGATGTTTGGCAATAAGTACTGTTTTTCACAGTGCTAAAAGATCACGTTTTAGGCTTGGTGTAGCACGCTAACCTAACAGGCACAAGGCCCCAGGTACAACCCCTAGCAACACCAAAAATAAAGCTCCTTTTTTCCCTTAATTTGCAGTGTTGGGGATATTTTCATAAACCGACAGCTGACAAGAGGAAAATACATTAACACTTGGCTTTTGGTTCACAGCAAGGCTACAGTGTCTGGTGTGAGGCGTTAGCCCCAGACAGCCACTGGCTTTGCCCTCAGTGCCTCTTGCCTATAAGCTGGTGAATGGGGTAATTTGTGCTGTGACTATGTTGTAGGAATATATAATGCACTTTAACATTCTGAATTTAAATAATGTTATCATCTGCTTTTTAAGAAACACAGCATATTATATATGCAGGTTCTCAAGAAATTCAAAGTCACAAGCAAGAAGACACCAGGTTTCATATTTTTTACAGTTCCAGAACATTTTTCTCCTTCTCAATCAGTAAGATCTGCTGTAACCACAGCAGACACAGGTGATGTACCTTCTGTGACCCTTCACCCCCAGGCCTCTGATGTAGACAGGAAATTAGGAACCTCATTTCAACCTTGTGTTGACAGGGATTGAAAGCAACCCACCTGCCTGCTTTCTTAGGAAACACCATATCTGGACATGTATGACATCAGCATTGTGTCTGAACAATGCCTGTTATCCCTGTCCTCAAAGGAGCCAGTGGTCAGAGCTGAAAGGTTCTCCCTGGCAGCTCCCCCAGAGGCTGACCAGCGCACTGCTCTGTATTCCTTTCAGGCTCTCAGATCCAGCACCTGACGCAGGTGGGAATTGCTAGCAGAATTGGAGCTCAGCCAGTGGAACTTCCTCCTGGCAGATGCGGCCAGTATGGGGGGCCAGGCTGGCCTGTGTATGGGGAGGACGAAGCAGGGCGAAGAGAAGCCGTGAGTATCTGGGGCTTGGGCCACCAGCTAAAACTGGTAATCACTGTAGCTGCTTCTGCTTTGAGATCACTGTTTGCAACCTGGGTTAAGCACAGCTTTCCACCCCTTACTGGTTTTGCCTTGATTGTTTTTGCAGTTCGGTAAACTCCTTCCATTTCTGGAATGGATGTGATCTTTCTTGAGCAAGCTTTCAGACTTCAAGTCATTATTTTGAACCTGAAAATAAACAAAATGCAGACTACTACTTTGTGATCATGATCTTATCCTTGGTGTGTCCTTACTGGCTTGTTGATGTCACTTCTACTCTGACCACCACTAGGGAAAGTTTTTGCAGTAAGCACCTCATCGGAGGCATTTTCAAGGAGTATTTTCTTCTCTTGGGTTTCTAATCACTCCGCATCAGCACAGCTAATCCTACAAGGGCCTTTTCATTTTCTTAAGAATTTTTATGGGACTGAAGAGATGGCTCAGTGGTTAAGAGCATTAGCTGCTCAATCAAATAACAAAATAAAATAAAATTTTTGAGACAGGGTCTCCTTGTAGTGCCAACTGGCCGGGAACTTGCTATGTAGACCAGGCTGGCCTTGATCTCACAGAGATCTGTCTGCCTCTGCCTCCCAGGTGCTGGAATCAAAGGTGTGTGCCACTACACTCAATAAAATAAATGGTTTTTTTTAGAAGAATTTTATATCTTGGGGAGTAGACTAACAGAGTTTGAGAATGCAACCAAAAGATGGGTTTCTATTTTATCTTTATTGCTGTTCCAACTTTTATTGCAATTCAGTACCTTTGCAGCAACCAGACTAAATTCCCTCAAAGTCAGATGGTTTTATTTAGTGAAAGGAAATTAACTCCAGAATATGATTTTTCTAGATATTTGCTAGGTTTATAATTGGAGATTTTTGCTTAAAGTTTATTGGTGCTTTCTTTTTGCTGTCTTTATTGTACCTGACTTAGTTTTGTGAAGTATTGTGGGTTTTCTGTCAACTCTGCTAATCTTCTTTTGGAGTTGCTTCTCTATTACTATTTTGGGAAGTGAAATACAAAAATGGTCAGGCTACGAGGCCATGTCTGTCTCCCGTTTAGAACACTAATTTAGTGTACCCACCTGTATACCGATTTAGTGCATGGACCTGGGATTTGGCTTTTGTACTATAAAAAAATTATATGAAAAAAAGTCCCTGAAAAGAGTCTGGAGAGATGTCTCAATGGTTAAGAGCACTGGCTGCTTTTGCAGAGGATCCTGGTTTGATTCCTAACACCCACATGGCAGCTAACAGCTACCTGTAACTCCAGTTCCAGGGGATCCCTCCATGGGCATTGCGCAACATGGGTGCACTTACGTTCATGTAGGCAATACACTCATATACATAAAATAAAAATAATAAAAATAAAATATTTTTTAAAAAGTCACTGAAAAGAATAACTTTTAACCAAACTAATGCCAAATTAATCTAACTCTGCAAATATCAGTAGAAGTAGTGTCTGCTTTAGTGAAGATATCCTATTTCTTAAAAGTCTCTAAAAAGAGCTGGGCATGGTGGCTTTAATCCCAGGACTCGGGAGGCAGAGTTCGAGGCCAGCCTGGTCTACATAGCGAGTTCCAGGACAGCTGGAGCTACAGGGAGACCCTGTCTCAAAAAGACAAAAAAAAAAAAAAAAAAAAAAAAAAAAAAAAAAAAAAAAATGCTCTAAAAGGTACATGCTGCTCTTGCAGAGGACTTGAGTTTGGTTGCCAGGACCTACATTGGTACCTCACAACCACCTGTAACTCCAGTTCCAGGGAATCCAGCACCCTCTTCTGGCCTCTGAGGGCACCTGCATGCACATGGTGTACATGTACCCAACTAGACATACACACGTACACATATTTTTTAAGTAAATGATAATAAATAAGATGGGATATGAAGCTGGGTATGGGGGCACACAACTGTAATCCCAGCAGTCAGAAAGAGGAGGGAGGAGAACAGCAGGTTCAAGGCAAGCCAAAGCTACATAGTGATACCCTGACCCCAAAACAAAAAAGACAGAAAATGATTTTGTGAACTGCTGCTTTGCCCCCTCCATTCTCTGGCCTCTTACTTCATGAGGTGCCTCCCCAGCCCCCATCTTTCCCTTCTCTGACTACCCAGGTCCCTGTCCATTCTCTCCATGAACCAGGAGCCCCAGAGCAGCCCCTGTCTTCACACACTCACTCCTCTTCCATTGCATGGGGACCTGGATGGCAAGGGCCATGTTGGAGAGTTGAGGTAGCATGTGGGAGCTGGGTGGAGACAGAATCTCAGATTCCCAGGGCCAGTGTGAACTTGCTTTTCCCTCTTGTTCTCTCGTGGGAAGTACAGAAATGTTTGCCATGTCTTTCAGACCCACATGCTTGGACATCAAGAATATTCTTCACCGCTGTTTCAGGTGCCAAGGACTTCGGGCAGGGAGCCCTCAGCTCCTCCTGGGAACCTGGCCCACAGGGGGCCGCAGGGCCCCGGGCTGGGTTACCCCACCAGCTCCACCGAGGACCTCCAGCCCAGCCATTCCTCTGCCTCCCTCATCAAAGCGATCCGTGAGGAGCTCCTGAGGCTCTCCCAGAAACAGAGCTCAGTACAGAACTTCCACAGCTGATTGGCCTCCTTTGCAGGTTTGCCAAGTATCCGCTTCCCGTGGAAGCAAGACCAAAAGGAAATCAACTGAGTGGGTGTTTGTGAGAGTCGGATCAAGCGTCTCTGGGCAAGCTGTCCAAGGAAGGGAACAAATTGCAATTTAGAAGATGCCATAAGTCACATGACAACTCATGATCCTTTTACAGGTTGACAATTTGGTGACTACATGGATTCAGTGTGTACTTTGGGCCAAAAGCCAGCAGTACTTCACAAAACAAAACACAAACCTAAGCTAACAAAAATGCTAAGTTAGTCTCCTTTTTTAAAGGCAAAAATTAAAACCTATAGATGGTTAGGGATGAAGGGAGCTCGCGTTTCCATGGGAGTTGGACTGATGTGTGAGACGCACTTGCTGCTCTGTTTTCTGAGGAGAGATTTGAAGACACTTCAGCAACAGCTTGATTCCTTCTTTTCCTCCATAGGAACTTATTTTAATAGTCATATTAACAACAAGGCATACCAAGACTGTTTGGGAATTAAAAAAAAAAAAAAAGCTACTAGTGAGAAACCAAATAGTTGTGGAGCCTGGTGATTCCAGCAAAGCCATCGCCTGTGTTCTTTCCCCTTCTTCTGGTGCTACAGTCCCAAGGGCCTTTCACCTCTCGGTCTGGGAAATGCAGCTTGGGGGCACACAACTGTAATCCCATCACTTTTGTGATGGAAAAACGTGAAGGTTTCATCTTGGGGGTGGGGGGGAAGAACTCCTGAATTGAAGGGGGGGAGCTTAATATTTATTTGCTCATTCAAAATACATATCAAAATTTAGATTTGCATTCTTAGTTGTATTTGCTATTTATTCACTGGGCTCATCCAGCTCTTGGTAACATCCCTGTCAGCACATCTCTGTGGGGGCCATACTGCAGAATGAGGCTGTGGGGAGGTCCTTACTGCCAGGTCCTTGCACTTTTTGGACAGTTTGCTCACAAACTATGTTTGAATGAAAACTCTTGTGTAAGCAGACATTATGTACAATTCTTAGGACCGCCTGATTGTCATGAATCCACCCACAGTAATCACATTCCCCATGTTCAAGATGAGAAGGGAAATTATGTTCCTATCAGCCTCTGTAATGAGTCAAGAAACAAGAGTTTTCCCATTTCTGATTTTGATATTATTTCTTTGTTGAACGACTGAAAATTGTCTTACATACTTTGGGTCAGAGAGAGAGGATTATGTCATCTGCAAGGCACTCCTGAAGTCACGTGTTGCAATTTTCCACATTACACTCAATGATGTTCTGTTGCCTGGTGCCTGAATGAAACTGAGGAATTGCAGACTTACAGAGGCGACTCCCACTATGACCCTCTTTACTAGATAAACTACTACTTTTGATTAAACAACATGTCCTAGTTTGTTTCTCTGTTACTGTGATAAACACCATGATCAAAACAACTTGGGGAAGGAAGGGTTTATTTCATCTTATAACTCCCAGGTCACAATCTATCATGGAGGGAAGTCAAGGCAGGAACCTGGAGCAAAAACTGAAGCAGAGACCACAGAGGAGCGCTGCTTACTGGCTTGCTCTCCAGGCTTAGGCTCAGCTACTTTCCTTATATAGCCCAGGCCCTCCTGCCCCCAGATGGCACCACCCACTATGGGGCTGGGTCCACCTACATCAATTAGCAACCAAGAATGTGCTCCATAGACATGCTCACGGGCCAGTCTAGTGAAGGCAGTTCTTCAGTTGAGAGTCACTCTTCCCAGATACGTCTAGGTTTGTGTCAAGTTGTTAGTTGAAGCTAAATGACAGAGATAGCAGGGTACAATTTGGGGCTCAGCTGAATCAAAACCTATATATCTGTGCCAAGTTTAAGAATCTAGAAACAACTAGAACAGGCTCCCAGACTAGTTACTGGTTCCAGAATTGTTCCTGCTTCTGCCTTCTTAGTCAGTCTCAGGACATAGATACCATCATAGAGACCATCAGTTCCAGGAAGCTGGTAGCATCTGCACATTCCAGAGAAGGCTTGCAGGGGATGTCTGTCAGATGTAAGTAAAGTTGTCACAATTCTTTGTCAGGTGACCCCTGGGGCTCTGCAGAATGTTGAGGAGGAGAACCATTTTCTGAGCGTATCTCTTTTTTTTCTTTCCTTTTTGAGACAGGGTCTCAAACTCTCGAGATCCCCTTACCTTTGCCTCTCAAGAGCCTTTGCCACCAAGCCTTCTGGACTTATCTCTTGGTCTTGCTTTAATATCACATTCTCCCCGAAGTGGAGTATCTTCCCAAGTTACCCAGGTTTTTAAGACTCTCAGCTATCCGGGCAGAATTTTAGTACAATACCTTATGATAAATTCAAATCATATAATAGGCAGATAGATTAATTACCCTTTCATAATAAATGGTCCTTTCCCTCCTTGTCATGAATGTTTTGGACATAGAGTGTCATAAAAATGGTTACCTCCTTAGTGCACTGTCAGTGTCAGAGGGTGTGACCACAGCAGCAATTTCAATGCCTTTCAAATTGCCATAAAGGAATTCTACCTGTATTCTTGTCCTTAGAACTCGTACATCTTTAAACAGATGTGAAAACCAAAGATGGCACATAGCAAACAGCTGGTGGTTCATGGTATGGCATGAGCAGGCCTTGTGGGAGCACCAGCCTCAGTTGTTGGTTATTTAAAGCACAGTTTGCAGTCATTTTCTCTCTAAACACTTGCCACAACAGGTTTACTAGTCACCAAACTTAGAATAAACTGTCATGGGACATGCCGTGCCTAGTAAGTCTCCAGACACTCATTCAATGTGTGCTACTACAAAAAAGGGGGAGGAGTCCCTCCTGCTTATCATGTGTAAATTTGGAGTTCCACATATTAAAGCACCCCAAAATGAAAGTTAAGTTTAATGTTTATCCTTTTCTCCTGATTTTAGAAGTTCTAGTGGGAATACTAGATGTTTGGGTCAACATCTTAGGAAGATGGCTTGGAGAAGTGCACTATTCTTTTTTGCAATCTCCTTGTGGCTAACTCTTTGTGTCAAGTTCCTTCTGATTATCATTCTTCTTATCAACAAAGCAAGACCAGATCTCCCCTGCCCACATCTCAGGATCTATGCTTCTGAGAATTAAATGCGATCCTGTGCGCAAGCATCCCTTAAGGAGGAAGCATCAGTCACTGAGAAAATGGAAATTGTTATCTGTGTGAATGTTCTGGGACGGACTCTGGAATAAACTATGAGCTACCAGTGTCTGGATTCATAGGAGTATAACCAGAACGAAACCCAAATCCCAGTGCCGCCCTCTTACTGCTTCAGACTCACCACCTTCACCTCCATTTTCAAAGGGAACCTGTGAAGCGCCTTTTTTACTCCTGACTTCCTGCCATTTCTGACCCCAAATAGCAGACTTGATCCCCGTCTTCTTCTTTTTTTTTTTTCCCCCTTTGGTCTTTTTGAGACAGGGTCTACCTGTAGTCCCAGACTGCCTGGAACTCACTATGTAGACTGAACTCACAGAGATCCACCTGTGATCTTTGTAGGTGGACCTTTGTTCCTCTGGGATCAAAGGTATGTGCCATCAGGCCCAGCAAAGCCCGGTCTTCTAAGAGATCCTGGAATCTAAGTTGGATAGTACAGATGGGCATAAAAGATGAACGCTATAGATAAATGGCATGCTTAGATATGCACAAAACACTTTCAGAGTGTACAGGTGCTGTGGATACTCAGAAGTCATGGGTCTTGCGTATTTGGGAGTGATGAGGTCTTGGGGGAGAAGTCAACTGTAGAAGCCACTTGGGTGTTATTCAAGCTAGTGAAGAGATGGCAGGAGACAAGCCCCAGAACTGACCTGGGAAAGGATGTAGAAATTATCCTGTCATTGAAATTAAACGTGATCCTGAGCTGCCATAGTATAGGGGTGCCATCTCTAACTGCACTGTTTAGGGAGTTTCAGAAGAGGAGGAAACGTACAGTAATGCAGCAAGCAGGTGACCAGACTAGTGATGGTGGAGCCTTGGAAGAGCTCCAGTGTGGGGGGAGGTGAAAGTGCAAAGATCTGTGGAAGGTGTTGTGTGGTAAGCAGATAGCGTTGAGGATGGCTCTGTGTTGTTGCTTAGCACAGATCTTAATGATCAGCCATTTCCTGACATGAAATCCTTTGTGGCACTTAGCAGGTTATAAATAAGTACATTTGGCTTCTTTATAACTACCTTCATGTTTTCCTCCAAATTTTATTTAATTTCAGAGTGTGTGTTCATTTGGGTGGCACGTGACTTTTAGGCAGTAGGGTTTTGCCACCGAGACTTTTTGAAGACCCTGAAGGCTTTGGGCTGCAACCAGCAGTTTTGTGCTTGTGAGTCTCTCGTTTCCTGTGTACAGAGTCAGTGTTTACTGTGTTTTCTGATCTTGGTGAGTGCTCCAGTAACAAAACCAGTCCCCAGGACACCAGACTGCTTTGTTAGAACTCCACAAGTTAATCATTTCTCATAGGCCTCCCTTGGCCCTTTAATGCTGGAGTCTTAGATGGGAACAAGTTTGGCACTTGGAAAGACATCAGGTTAAAGTTCTAAACCCAGGGTCAGGGTGCTTTTGTCTTAACTCTCACACCAACTTCACCCATTAGTGGGATTTTTGCCATGTCATTTCTACCTCCAAAGTAAGGCTCCAAAGATTGACACTAGAGCCTGCCATATTCGGCCTGGGCAGGAGCTTGAGGAAGTCTGCTTCTAGACCTGTGAGTACAAACATGTCTCCAGGGGACAGTCCATTGAACTTTTGTCATTTTGTCCAGCCCACTATAAACATTCCTGAAAGAGGTGAGAGGTTTCTGCTGGCCACTGTTGCCACATTCTCATGAAACACAGTTGCCCTTGTCACCTTGCAGACAAGAATGGTGCACATTTCAGAGCTGTGGTATTAGTATTTCTTTTTTTTTTTCCCTAGGGCGGGGGGAGGATGTGTGATCGTTGGCGTGGGTATTTTAAACTAGGATTCTCTTGTCCTCTGTTAAAAAGACTTGAAAACTGAAACCCATGGCACAATGTTAATTCCATGCCTATGTGTGTAATACAACACTTGACAATTATCTCAAGAACACACAGCAGCACTGAAGTGTAGAAAAGAATAGTAATATGCCTTTGGAAACACGAAGCAGTGAGGGACCAGTGAGAGGGCGGGAGGAGCAGCAGTGTCTGCATCTGATCCGTTCCTCCCATGTAGGTCCCACAGGGTAGGTCTGGAGCCACTTCCCAGTTAAAGAGTGACTAGGTAGAAGGGACAGGGATGGAAATTGAAGTGATTTGAGCCTCACCATCCCCGACTGCACAGAAGCTTCTTCCAGAACTACTTGGAGCATCATCAGTGTCTTTCATGCCCATCAGATTTCAAGTACTTGACTCCCAAATGTGCAATTTGGGAGTAGTACAGGGCCAAATTCAACCGCATGCCCTGTTCTGCTCTTCTGCTGATGCAGGGAAAGAAGAGGGAAGTACCATAAGAACCTAGGCCTCGGTCATTAAGCCAGTTTGCTCTAAGCTCCAGGGGCTTGGTTCAGAAATAAGAGTGGAAGGACTTTTGACTGCTG